TACCAAATTTCAGAAAGTCGACCAAAATTACAAAATCAAAGAATTTGGGCCAGTATATACTACCAAAATTCATAAATACAGCCCCATGCACATTATATACTATTTTTATGAGATTTTTCATTTCCTTTTTAAATCTTGAAGTAATGGAATTGTTTATACGTCTTTTAAGTTTTCAACGTTCCCATTTGAATTTTTATGATACCACAAATTATACATTCGATTGTCTTGAAAAAAGTACTATTTCCGTTAACATATAAACAAAGTTTTTTGCACCAAAAGAAAGGAATTTAGTTAGTTAACAAGTAAAAAAAAACATTAAGTTCGGCCGGCCAAACTTTTAATACCATCCACCTTAGGGTAAAGGAAACATTAGAAGAAATGTGGCAAAAACCATTAAAATGCCGAATGTCGGGAGGTACCGTTATATGGGAGCTATACCAAAACGTGGATCTATAACTACAATGACTTGCCACACGAACTGGGACCCATTATGATCTACAACTACCAAATTTTCAGTGAAATTCGTCAAAAAATGTGTCAAAAATCATCAAATTACCGAATATCGGGAGGTACCGTCATATGGGGACTATACCAAAACGTGGACCTATACATACAATGTTTCGCCACACGAACTAGGACCCATTATGACTCCAAATATTATTTTTTAGACAAATCAGTGAAAAAATGTGGCAAAAACCATTAAAATACCGTATATCGGGAGGTACCGTTATATGGGGGCTATACCAAAACGTGGACCCATACATGCAATGTTTCGCCACCGGAGCTGGAACCCATTATGAACTACAAATACCAATTTTTAGACAAATCCGTTAAAAAAATGTGGCAAAAATAATCAAAATATCGAATATCGGGAGGTATCATTATATGGAGGCTATACCAAAACGTGGACCTATACATGCAATGTTTTGTCACACAATTTTCAGACAAATCCGTGAAAAAATGTGGCATTATTCATCAAAATACCGAATATCGGAAGGTACCGTTATATGGGGACTATACCAGAACGTGGACCGATATCTCTCATTTTCAATACCAACCATCCTAGACACAATACCAATTGCTCTGCTAAATTTTGGTGCTCTACCTCAAATAATGTGGGCTGTATCGTGATTTCAACAGACAGACAGACAGACAGACGGGCATCGTTAAATCGACTTAGAATTTTATGCTGATTATGAATATATATACTTTCTGGGGTCTACGACGAATATTTAAGGATGTTACAAACGGAATGACAAAGTTAATATACCATCCTTTCAAGGTGGAGGGTATAATAATGCTCATATTTCTTCGAAAATTTAACATTTTTAACACCACTTGTGTCGATTATGTACGTAATCACATCTTTTCTGTAAGTTCACCTAAAAGGGTACCTTTCGCCCAATCTAAGAACATTTCCAAAATTACAGTGGTACAACACCTCATATCATTGAATAGTTTTCGTACCACCATACTTTTATGAATTTTTTTTTTTCCTCAAAACTGCATTATATTGGCGGTACCCTTGTACCCGGTATCTGGTCATTATTATACCCTCCACAAGTATGGAGGGTATATTAAGTTCATTATTCCGTGAGAGATAACACATTTTTTTTATGGAATGGAATGGAAATAAAATGTCGGAAATAGCATCAAAATTTAGGATTGGTCACACGCTGCCCGAATGTTGCTCTACGGTATTTTGGTCCATTCCCGGCACAGCGCTTGATTGAGGTGATCGGCACTTTGGTGTTTTTTAGTGCCAACCTTGCTTTCCAAAATACTCCAGACACAATAGTCCAACGGAGATTTTGGAGGCATTGTGTGCTGGAAATAAAGCGAAGAACCTCATTTTGTAACCATTCTTGGGTGGCGCGTGCTAAGCGCGATGGTGCTGAGTTCTCTTACAATGTCCAAGGTTTGCGGCCAAAATGTTTGCGTGCCAAAGGCTTTAATACATCCTCCAGAATATTTTCGCTATAATATTCGGTATTTAGTCTGATGCCACGGTCGATTTATACGAGCGGAGAGCGACCATCGGCTGTTATGGCGGCCCACACCATCGGTATTTAGTCTGATGCCACGGTCGATTTATACGAGCGAAGAGCGACCATCGGCTGTTATGGCGGCCCACACCATCACCATGGCCGCCTCTTGAGTTCTGGTGGCCAACCGAAGGTGCACATTTTCAGCTGACCTCTTTGGCAAGTAAACACGATCATTTTGTTTGTTTACAAACTGCCGGACAAATTTAGCTCTTTTTAGTCTATTTTCTTTCTGTTGCGGTGTAAGTACTGCACTTTTCGGAATTTCAATGGCTTTACCCCGAGTTCATTTTTCAATATTTTCCGAATGGAATATTGCCATATGTTCAGCTCACAAGCCATTTTTCGGCCACTGCGACGCGGGCTTCAATCAAGTCGCTTCTTTAGTTGTCGAACCATTTGTGATGATGTTGCTGTTTTCTTCCGTCCACTTCCTTGACGTCGGACAACCCTACCAGTATCACGGTAACAAGCGATGGTACGAGACACAAAAGATTTATTCACATTTAAATGCTGGAGTGCACTAACGAAAGCCACTTGTGGTCTTCCAGCCAAATATAAAGAAATCACACTATCACGCTTGAATTGCATCACGAATAGCTTTTTTCTGGAAAATTCTCACCAAAATGCTTTTGTACGCTTGTAAACAATATAATGAGCTGTCACTGGAATAATTTTAACAGCTGTCGGACGAGTGGCTTAGAAATTACAGCAGTCTGAAGTTGGTTGCAGTTTTTTCATCTCACCCTGTATATATTCTTGTCCGTCGCTCTGTCTGTCGGTCTATGGAAATCGCTCTAGCTTCCCAACGAAATGAATGAATAATCTTAATAAAATATTTGTCAGATATTTTAGGTCCGCAAGATTTTTATACTCTCCACCTTGGAAGAGAGAGTATATTAACTGTGTCATTCCTTTTCCCTAACATCCCTAAAAATATTCATGGGTGACCCCATAAAGTATAAATATTCATAATCAGCATAACATTTTAAGTCGATTTAACGATTTCCGTCTGTCTGCCTGTCTGTTGAAATCACAATAAATCCCCCAGTATTTGGCGTAGGGTTTTAAAATTTGGCAGAACAATTAGTATTGTGCCTAGGATAGTTGGTATTGGAAATGAGATATATCGGTCCACGTTTTGGTATAGACCCCGTATAACGGTACCTCCCGATATTCGGTATTTTGATGATTTTCTCCACATTTTCTAGAGCTTTGTTTAAAAATTGGTATTTCTAGGTCATATTGGGTTCTAGCTCCGGTAGCGGAACATAGTATGTAGAGGCCCCCACATAAATTTAAATTTGTTAGATCATTTGAACCCCTAAATATACATACTCTGAAACAATAGACAAAAACAATACGACAAAAAAACAGTAAAGAAAGTCTTAAAGACGGGCGGGGCCGACTTTATTATACCCTACATCACTTTGCTAATTTAGTAGAGCTCCGCATAAAAATTAAAAGATTTTATGGGAGAATTCAATCATACACGCTATGAATATAATTATAATTTAAAGTTCAAAGGACTAAATATGCCGAAGCATTTGTATCTTTTAAATTCGGACTTGTATTGCCCATTTGGTGCAAAATTAATTTGAAATCCGATAAAAATATATATAGGAGCTATATCCAAGTCTGAACCGATCTCGATAAAATTTGGCAAAGGCATTTCTGAGCTGTTTTTGATATATTTCCCCAAATATTGTTGTTACGGAGGGAATATTACGGCTGTGGGTAACAAATACAACAAATCGGATGAACAATATATATGGGAGCTATAGCTATATCTGAACCGATTTCGATCAAATTTGGCATACTTATTTTCAGGCCTAATCTGGTTGTATGTGCAAAATTTCATACTATTCGGGCTAATATTACACGTTTGGTGCACAATAAAAGGCAAATCGGACGAAGATATATATGGGAGCTATATCTAAATTTTGACCGATTATCCCTAATTTCAATAGGGTTCGTTCGGGACAAACAAATGATTTGTGCAAAATTTCATCTGGATAGGGCAATAAATGCGAGCTGAACTTTGTTTACAAAAATACATGGACAGACGGAGAGACGGACAGACGGACGGACATGCATAAATCGACACAGAATGTGATTCTATGCAGATCATCAAAAGGAACTATGGGTCTATCTCGTTTCCTTTTGCCTGTTACAAACAAATGCACAAAGACATAATACCCTGACCAACTTGTGGTGTAGGATATAAATATGGCTTATTTTTACGCGATTTCTTTCCGAAATGGTAAGAATTGTCAAAATCAGTCCAGCGGTTCTTGAGTTATAAGCGGTCTAACTAACATCCCCTTTATATAATTTCTTATATATGCGATTTTCGTGTATTTGTGATTTCCCAGGAAATAAACATTTTCAGCGTTTCAAGGAAATGTTCGTTATTTTTTACATAAAAGTCATGGTCTATTTTACCCGCTAAATATTGGCCGATAACCACACAAAATATCAAAAGTTGGATTTAACTGCTTTTAGACGTGATCTGCTTTGTTTTCAAAATGTTTGCTATTATTTTGATTGGTACTGTACTCATCTCAATAATAACTCTGCTGGGTAATTTATGGAGTGACATGTCATTAAAAAGTGTTATAAATGAATACGGATACAAATATGAGTAAATGATTAATTAGCGTTTTATCTGCTTGAGATTTCAGCGGATGTCTGGTATGGAGATACTGAGATTTTGGCTTAATATTTATACCAGAAACAACCAAATACATTTACTTATATTAAACAGTAAAGCACAGTTATAATCAGCATTTCTATAATTTTTTAATTTCAAATTCTAGATTATTCAGAGAAGGTATTGGTTTAAAACTTAATAAAAACTGTTAATTGACAATTAATACGTCATATCAATGTTTAACTGTGCAGTAATTAAAAGAATAATAAAATAAAATTTTTTGTCAAAAAAATGGTAAAATAATTTTTATTAACAAAATAAGCTACACTAAACCGGTTTTATATATATTTCGTTAAACATTTGCTTAAACATGTATGTTTTGTTTGTTTCTAAATCACAAAAAAATCAGTCTTAGATGAGAAAGGCGGTGTTTGAACCCACCTGCCTGACACACAACACGTGTTGCGGTTAAACATTCATTCAATCACACCGATGCCCCCAACCACCCCAGTATGTCAACAAAACGTGGCGGTGGAGTTTCCATGTTCACAGCTTCCTCATACGAGGGAGGGGGTTTTTCATTTTGCATTGACTGCACGTGGACATTGATTTCGTGGTAATAGGGCAGGTTCGTCGACGAAGATCTACTGCGAATGTAACTTTGTTCCATATTACAGAGATGCGGTCGTTGTTCTTCACGTGATCGTCGTTCATCGTTAAATCTTTCGTAGAGCTTATATATGGGAAACCATGATAAACTTTGGCAGACTGATTAGGAAGAAAAGATGGGGAATTGTTAGAAAAATATGGAAAGTTTTGAAAGTATTGGTGTACTCACTTAAGACCAATGAACCCAAAATGAGTTGGATATTGTCCTCGGTCAGTGAAATCATGGCAATGTCCAAGATTACCAGAAATACTGTAGTCACCAGCCAGGGGCGTAGGTAGTCCGATTGACGCTGTAAATTATAGAGATTAATTAATGAATGGAAAGTTTTTTTTCTATAGAACATTTGGTAAAAGATTTCCTCATATGGAAGCCCCTTTGTATGGACTCTATAAATAAAAGTCCAGCGGAAGTGTTTCTAGAAAACTGAGGAAGGTGTTCTATCAATTAGAAGTCTGTAGTGTCTTGCACTCATTGAAGAGGTCATCCACAAACGGAAGTCCCAAAATGAATGAATGAGTTTCTGGCAGCTGTTGAATGTACCCATTCATTGAAGACCTGTGGAAAGTATGCTATCAATAGAAGAAATGTGGAATATCTCCTATCCACCGAAGTCCTGCAACAGGTCTTCAATTTTCAGATAATCTTTGAAAGGGTTTTCATGTGTGAAAAATTTTTTTTCTATTTACCTATGGAAGGTATTCCATGTGCAAAGTGACATTGAATCCATTCTATTTTAGTTTGTGAAAAAAAGACCTATGCTGTTTTTTTCTTGTGGAAGGTATTCTATCAATAAAATATGTGTGGAATATCTCCTATCAACAGCAGACCTGCTATAGGTTCATTTTTCAGAAAACTTGTGGAATGTATTCTATGCAAAGAAGTCCAGTGAAAATTTTCCATTTAATTAAGACCTGTGAAAGGTATTCCATCTGCAAAATGACAATGAAAAGTATTCTGCGTAGGTTTTTTTTAAAGGAAATTGTGGAATGAATTCCATAAATAAATGATCTTTTATAGGAAGGTCTTCTATAATCAATATATATTTTTCATAGTTCATATATCAATATACACAAACCTCCTATAAGTCTTCTATGAATAGAAAATATTATACAGGTCTTCTATTAAAAGAAGATGTCTCATTCTTGATAGACGACCTCCCACAACTTTATTAGAGGTTACTTATAGACAAAAGATTTTCCAAAATAAATATCACAAAATAAACCAGTAAAGAAAGTCTTAAAGTCGGGCGGGGTCGACTTTATGATACCCTACACCACTTTGCTAATTTAGTTGAGCTCCACATAACAATTAAAAGTTTTTATGGGAGAATTCAATCATACACGCTATGATTATAATTATAATTTAAAGTTCAAAGGATTAAAGATGCCGAAGTATTTGTGTCTTTTAAATTCGGACCTGTATATATGAAAATCGTCGGTACGGAGTGCATATGACAGCTGTGGGTAACAAATATAACAAATCGGATGAAGAGTATATATGGGAGCTATAGCTATATCTGAACCAATCTTCACCAAATTTGACATACTAGCTTCTAGACTCAATTCGGTCGTAAGTGCCAAATTCCATCCCATTTGTACAAATATTAGACGTTTGGTGCACAATAAAAAGTAAATCGGACGAAGTTATATATGGGAGCTATATCCAAATCTGAACCGATCTCGATAAAATTTAGAAAATGTATTTCTGAGCTGTATTTGATATATTTCTTAAAATATTGTTGTTACAGAGTGCATATTGCGGCTGCGAACGACAAAAATAACAAATCGGATGAACAATATATATATGGGAGCTATAGCTATATCTAAACCGATGTCGATAAAATTTGGCACACTTATTTTCAGGCCTAATCTGGTTGTATGTGCAAAATTCCATACCATTCGGCCTGATATTACACGTTTGGTGCACAATAAAAGGCAAATCGGACGAAGATATATATGGGAGCTATATCTAAATTTTGACCGATTATCTCCAATTTCGATAGGGTTCGTCCTTGTGCCAAACAAATGATTTGTGCAAAATTTCATCTGGATAGGACAATAAATGCGAACTGTACTTTGTTTACAAAAATACATGGACACACGGACAGACAGACAGACGGACAGACAGACGGACGGACATGCATAAGTCGACTCAGAATGTGATTCTATGCAGATCATCAAAAGGAACTATGGGTCTATCTCGTTTCCTTTTGCCTGTTACAAACAAATGCACAAAGACATAATACCCTGACCACCTTGTGGTGTAGGGTATAAAAAGTCAAATGTTGAACTTAATTGATCCCCTTTTCGAATGATCGTTATAGATCTGGAACCAATGTGTTCCAAAAAACATACAATCTCTAAAAAGCATGAGTATTTTAAGAACTGAAGGGCGAATGCAAAATCTAGAAAATTTTTAGGTTTTTGGGTCATTTTAAACCCAAAATATTTTGCGAACATCTTCAAAAACAAATAGACTTCCATTCTGACCCTAACCCTTTCCCAATGCAAAATTTAGTGAGGATTGACACCTAGCGAATTACAAATTAACATGGACAGACGGACGGGCTGACACACAAAGCTATATCGATTCAGGTCGACGAGATAAGAGGATCCATACATAGCATCCTATGTCTGGGGCCAATATAAATTTTTAGCCCAATCAAACTTATAATACCCCTTTTTTATAATTTCTATACCTTACACCACATAGTGGTAAGGGTATTATGTCTTTATGCATTTGTTTGTAACATGGAAAAGGAAGCGAGATAGACCCGAAGTTACTTTTGACGACCTTCATAGAATCACTTTCTGAGTCCGTCCATATATCCATGGATTTTTTTGTGAACAAAATGCATGCTAGGCACATCCGACCGAATTCGTACAAATTTGGTGTAAATAGGTTCATATATAGCTATAAATCCCATATATATGCTTGATCCGATTAGAGGTTTAATGTCCCACAATAATCTTTAGTGCCAGATATCAGATACAGCTCAGGAATAAGTGTTTAAAATTTTGTCGCGGTTTTTTTTTTGTGCACCAAATGGCTGATATCAGCCCAAATGGACTTAATTTTGTCACTTCCGACGGAATTCAGCCTAAAAGCAAGCGCTTCAGGTTTTTGTGGAAATCGATTCAGATATAGCTATAGCTCCCGTTTCATCCGATTCCGTGTTAAAGTACTTCACATGCGTAATATGCACTCCATAATAATGCCATATGATACCGGGCATCAGATATTGCTCGAAAATACCTCAGCCAAATTTTATCGAGATCGGTTCAGATTTTTATATCGATATACATCTTCATCCGATTTTACGGTTATTGGTCACCATATATGTAATATCAGCTCAAATTGAATAGATTTATTATTATTCAACCGAATTTTACCATGCGGTGAAAGTCGGTCCGGTATATATATTGCTCCAATAAATATTTTTATTCCCTCCCCTTGGGAAGGAGGGTATATTTAATTTGTCATTCCGTTTGTAACATCCCTAAATATTCGTCGTAGACCCCATAAAGTATATATATATATATATATATATATATATATATATATATATATATATATATATATATATATATATATATATATATATATATATATATATATATTCATAATCAGCATAAAATTTTAAGTCTGTCTGTCCGCCTGTCTGTCTCTGCGTCTGCCTGCCTGTTGAAATTACGATGCAGCCCACATTATTTGATGTAGAGCGTAAAACATTTTGCAGAACAATTTGTATTGTGTCTAGGATGGTTGGTATTGAAAATGAGATATATCGGTCGTATTTTGTTGATTTTTGCCACATTTTTTAACGGATTTGTCTAAAAATTGGTATTTGTTGGTCATAATGGATTATAGCTCCGGTGGCGAAACATTGCATGTATAGGTCCACGTTTTGGTATAGCCCCCATATAACGGTACCCTCGATATTCGGTATTTCGATGGGTTTTGCCACATTTTTTCACGGATTTGTCGGAAAATTGGTAGTTTTGGTTGTAATGGGTTCTGGCTGTGGTGGCGAAACATTTTATGTATAAGTCCACGTTTTGGTAGAGCTCCCATATAACGGTACTTCCAGATATTCGGTATTTTGATGATTTTGCCACATTTCTTCGCGGATTTGTCAAAAAATTGCTATTTGTTTGTTCTAATGGGTTCTAGCTCCGTTGTCGAAACATTGTATGTATAGGACCACGTTTTGGTATAGCTCCCATATAACGGTACCTCCAGATATTCCGTATTTTGATGATTTTTGCCACATTTCTTCGCGGATTTGTCTAGAAATCGGTATTTTTGTATCCTTATGGGTTCTAGTTCCGTTGCCGAAATATTGTTTTTGTATAGCCCCATATAGCGGTACCTCCCGATATTCGGTATTTTGATGATTTTGCCACATTTCTTCGCGGATTTGTCTAAAAATTGCTATTTGTTTGTTCTAATGAGTTCTAGCTCCGTTGTCGAAACATTGTATGTATAGGACCACGTTTTGGTAGAGCTCCCATATAACGGTACTTCCAGATATTCGGTATTTTGATGATTTTGCCACATTTCTTCGCGGATTTGTCTAAAAATTGCTATTTGTTTGTTCTAATGGGTTCTAGCTCCGTTGTCGAAACATTGTATGTATAGGACCACGTTTTGGTATAGCTCCCATATAACGGTACCTCCAGATATTCCGTATTTTGATGATTTTTGCCACATTTCTTCGCGGATTTGTCTAGAAATCGGTATTTTTGTATCCTTATGGGTTCTAGTTCCGTTGCCGAAATATTGTTTTTGTATAGCCCCATATAGCGGTACCTCCCGATATTCAATATTTTGATGATTTTGCAACATTTTCGCACGAATATGTCTAAAAATTGGTATTTGTGGGACACAATAGGTTCTAATGTATCCTTTACCCTAAGGTGGAGGGTATTAAAAGTTTGGCCCGGCAGAACTTAATGTTTTTTTACTTGTTTAATATAATCCCTATCGAAGTCATATCATGCACTACGCAGCAATGTTATTTGGATCATAGTTGATATGATCTACTTCACTTAAATTTCCAATATAAATTTTTTTGTTACGCCCGACTTTTGACCTTTCCTTACTGGCCTTTCTTTGAAGACGGGTATTGAAAGATCGGCCAGGAATCTCGAAACTCCCTCGTTTTGAGTCGTACACGCACCCTCTGTACCGACGCTACTCTTTACTTGGTAATAAGTAAAACTAGTACCTTACTTGACAATTTTTAATTTAAACCTAATGGTTATACAGAAAGTATGTTGTTTACCTTAACTTTTAATAAGTTATTCGACTCATACTATTGTGCGTAATAGTTATTTTTTGGGTCACCTCAAAAGAATAACTCCTTTTTGTGACCAAGGCATAAATACCTATTTCATGTGACATGGTCTTGTTCCTTTTGTAATGACTAATTTTGCGGAAATTTTTTTTCCCAAATCCATCAATCCGGAAATACTTACCATTGATAATCCCAGCGATAAAATAAATGCAAATATAAACATGGTTGTAATGATGATGAGTAACATGGTAGTAAATATTTTACACCCAGCTTCAACTGCAAATGGGGGGGGGGGGGGGAGAAATTACCACAAAATACACAAAAAGGAAAAAAATATTCTCAACTCACATCCCGGTCCACAAATCGGGCAACTAAATGAACTGTAGGTGATGTGGCATGCAAACACCAACAACAAGGCAAACAATAATATTTGCTTGTAGGCAATAAATTTCCCCAATTTTTCCAATAAGTCCTTTTCACTCTGCCTTCCGTCCATGTTGAGATCAAGTCGTTGCGTAAGGCAGCTATACACATGCGAAGGTTAAAAATCTGCCGCTTCGAATCAAGTCCGAAATAATACTGAACTCAGTCAAAATGAAATGAAATTAAAACAAACAAATTATAAAATTACAAAATTTGTCTCGCAGAACATCATCAGAATACAGTTTAGCATTTTTCCCCGTTGTCGTTGCTGTTGCTGTTGTAGAGAACGGGATTCAGAATCCAAAGAAATGATGAACGTTTAAATGAACTAACAATCAAATGACGCAAATCAAAGGCAATGCAGCCGATGATTTGAACTAGACGTTTTAATTCATTAATATTCAAAGTATTATTGGCATTATATATCATCTATGCACGTGCCTATATTTCAAATCTTTTTCAAAATGCGCATACACACATATATATATACGTACGTTGTATTGTTTTCAAACAATATTGGGGACTTTTAAAATATGAAAATATATAAATTATTATGGTTTTGAACTGTCACAGACTGTAGTATATTTTAGGAACTTCAAATACCAAATTTGAAACAATTCCGGTGAATAGTGTCGCTAAAATCATCAAAATACCGAATATCGGGAGGTACCGTTATATGGGGGCTATACGAAGACGTGGACCTACATGGCCCAATTTCTGTTTTATCCGGTAGTATCAGTGGGGTCTATACGAAGGACCTGGACCTGCATGCACAATTTTCTGGCATAGACCGTAGTTTTCATTACGAACTCTAAATACGAAATTTGAAACAACTCCGGTGAATAATGTCGCTAAAATCATCAATATACCGAATATTGGCAGGTACCGTTATATGGAGGCTAAACGATATCGTGGACCTATATACCGAATATTGGGAGGTACCGTTATATGGAGGCTAAACGATATCGTGGACCTATAGAGACAATACTCTTAGAGGAAGGAAGGAACTTTTTTTTGTGGATTTTCAGACAATTTCATTGAACTATTTAGCAACACTCAGCAAAATACAGAATGTCGGGGGATGGGGGTACCGTTTTATGGGGGCTATACGAATCAAACTTGACCTGCCCGTAGACAAATGACTGATCTGTGCAAAATTTTAGCTTCCCATCTTAATTCGTTTTGACTCTAGCGTGATTACAACAGACGGACGGGAAGGGCTAAATCGTTTACGCTGATCAATAATATACAGGGTTGTTCATATTCGACGGACCCATCTGGCAACGCCATAACTTTTGACAGAGATGTCACATCGCTTAATGACATACCGCGTTTGAAGCGTTAGTCCAAGCAGATTTTTGCCATGAGCCAATACACGCCACGCGAGCGCTCTGAAATAGTTGAAATTTACATTCAACAGAAGAAGTCAATTGTGAAAACTCAACGTGCTTTTAAAACATTAAAAAATGTGAGAAGTGAGCCTTCTTAGAACACCATTAAGCATTTATACGAAAAATTTTCGACTGGTAAGGCTCTTTCTAATCCGAAGAGGCCATATAAAAGTCGACCAAGGCGATCGGCCGAGAATATCGCTGCCGTACGAGCCAGTGTTGAGAAGTGCCCAAGAACATCCCAAAAACGCCGTTCTCAGCAGTTGGGCATGGCTCCACTTTACAACGGATTATTCGGATTGATTTGCATTTGTTCCTCTACAAAATTCAATTGACGCAAAGAATGTTGCCTGCAGACAAGCCTGGTCGATTGAAATGGGCCCAAAAAAAACATGGGTTCGTCGAATATGGGTAACCCTGTACAGGGTGAGATGAAAAAACTGCAACCAACTTCAGACTGCTGTCATTTCTAAGCCACTAGTCCCACAGCTGTTATGATTATTCCAGTGACAGCTCATTATATTGTTTACAAGCGTACAAAATCATTTTGGTGAGAATTTTCCAGAAAAAAGTTATTCGTGATGGAATTCAAGCGTGATAGTGTGATTTCTTTATATTTGGCTGGAAAACCACAAGTGGCTATCGTTAGAGCACTCCAGCATTTTAATGTAAATAAATCTTTTGTGTCTCGCACCATCGCCCGTTACCGTGATACTGGTAGGGCCGAACTGCCGAATTTGGTTTTCTCCGATGAGAAAACATTCGTTGTCTAGCTGTTTGTAAACAAACAAAATGGCCATGTTTACTTGCCAAAGAGGTCAGCTGAACGTGTGCACCTTCGTTTGGCCACCAGAACACAAGCGCCGGCCATGGTGATGGTTTGGGTCGCCATAACAGCCGATTATTGCTCTCCGCTCATTTTAATCGAACATGACATCAGGATAAATGCCGAATATTATCGCAAAAAAATTCTGGAGAGTTATTAAAGCCTTGGGCACGCAATAATTTTGGCCGCAGACCTTGGACATTCCAGCAGGACTTAGCACCATCTCTCTCAGCAGGCTCCACCCAAGAATGGTTACAAAATGAGGTTCCTCGTCTCATTTCCAGTGCACAATGGCCACCAAAATCTCCGGATACCAATCCGTTGGACTATTGTATCTGGAGTATTTTAGATCACCTCAAGAAAGCGCTTCGCCGGGAATGGGCCAAAATAGCACAGAACAACATTGGCCGTTTGAAGTCCATAATTCGTGCCAAAGGTTACCAATTCGAACAAATCTAAAATTATTTAAGTTCTGATGCTATTTCCGACATTTTTTGCTCTCATTTAATAAAATTTAAAAAAAAATGTAAAAATTATGGCATATGAATGTAAAATTATGGCATAAGGTTGTCAGGGTATTATGTCTTTGTGCATTTGTTTGTAAAGGGGAAAAAGGAAACGAGATAGACCATAGTTCCTTTCGATGATCTGCATAGAATCACATTCTGAGACGATTTATGCATGTCAGTCCTCCTGTCTGTCTGTCCATGTATTTTTGTACACAAAGTACAGTTCTCATTTATTATCCGATCCAGATGAAATTTTGCACAAATCATTTGTTTTCCCCAAGGACAAACCCTATTGAAATAATCGGTAAAAATTTAGATATAGCTCCCATATATATCTTCGTCCGATTTGCCTTTTATTGTGCATCAAGCGTGTAATATCAGCCCGAATAGTATGGAATTTTGCACATACAACCAACTTAGTCCTGAAAATAAGTATGATCGAAATCGGTTCAGATATAGCTATAGCTCCCATATATACTGTTCATCCGATTTGTTATAGTTGTTCCCACAGTCGTAATATGCACTCTGTAACACCGATGTTCAGGGAAATATATCAAACGTAGCTCAGAAATGTTTTTGCCAAATTTTATCGATATCGGTTCAGATTTGGATATAGCCCCCATATATATCTTTATCTGATTTCAAATTAATTGTGCACCAAATGGGCAATACAATTCCGAATTTAAAAGATACAAATGCTTCGGCATATTTATTCCCTTGAACTTTAAATTACAATTATAATCGTAGCGTGTATGATTAAATTCTCCCATAAAAACTTTTAATTGTTATGCGGAGCTCTACTAAATTAGCAAAGTGGTGTAAGGTATCATAAAGTTGGCCCCGCCCGATTTTAAGACTTTCTTTACTGATTTTATCGCAGCCTGTATATACTTTGTTATCTACAGTATTATTATTATTACAAATGGAATGACAAACTTAATATACCCTCCATACTATGTATATATGTGTATGTATATACCCATTCTCAAAACATAAATGGAATCATAATTTTTTCCTGTAATTCTCTACAGCCTCTAAAAACAATTTGAAATTTTTTAGTTATACCACTCTTAATCTCATTGCTGAACAAATTATGTAAGAACGTGTCACAAAATACTGCGGTTATTTTTACTACCAGTAGGTCATTAGAATGTCCGTGGATGTTACAGGTGTTCATAAAATGTTTGTTTTTTCAACTTTATTTGTACTGCAGTTTAAAATAACCGACAAAGAGCAGTACGATCTCGCACAGTCTCGTACATTAATAAAATCAATTTAATTTCGTACATCTTGATTGCATCGTGATTATATGCACGTATTTCCAATATACGAATCATTTATAAAGAGCGGCGATAAAGGAATCTTTGTAAAACAAATTGTTAGTTAATGCAGAGCGATAAAACAAATAACTTTAAGACTGCATATTTCGACATTCTTTCTTTCTTTCTTTATTCAATTCATACTTAATACTAAAGCCTCCAAGGCCAATTAATTGTATTAATAAGGTACTCAATACCAAGTAGAAAAATTCAAAATAACTTATAATTAACTATAACATTATTAAAAAACAAATTATAAAAGGCTCCCCAGCCAAAACTACAAAAAAACCAGTAAAGAAAGTCCCAAAGTCGGGCGGGGCCGATTTTATGATACCCTACACCACTTTGCTAATTTAGTTGAGCTCCACATAACAATTAAAAGTTTTTATAGGAGAATTCAATCATACACGCTATGATTATAATTATAATTTAAAGTTCAAAGGACTAAATATGCCGAAGCATTTGTATCTTTTAAATTCGGAATTGTATTGCCCATTTGGTGCACAATTAATTTGAAATCGGATAAAGATATATATGGGAGCTATATCCAACTCTGAACCGATCTCGATAAAATTTGGCAAAGATATTTCTGACCTGTATTTGATATATTTCCCTGAATATCGTTGTTACGGAGTGCATATTACGGTTGTGGGTAACAAATATAACAAATCGGATGAATAATATATATGGAAGCTATAGCTATATCTGAACCGATCTTCGCCAACTTTGACATACTAGCTTCTAGACTCAATTCGGTCGTAAGTGCCAAATTCCATCCCATTTGGACAAATATTAGACGTTTGGTGCACAATAAAATGTAAATCGGACGAAGTTATATATGGGAGCTATATCCAAATCTGAACCGATTTCCATAAAATTTAGCAAATGTATTTCTTAGCTGTATCTGATATATTTCCCCAAATATTGTTGTTACAGAGTGCATATTACGGCGGCGGTGGACAAAAATAACAAATCGGATGAACAATATATATGGGAGCTATAGCTATATCTGAACCGATTTCGATCGAATTTGGCATACATATTTTCAGGCCTAATTTGGGTGTATATGCAAAATTCCATACAATTCGGGCTGATATTACACGTTTGGTGCACAATAAAAAGCAAATCGGACGAAGATATATATGGGA